TTTTTTTGCCCCCTTTTTTTTTGGGGGGGGGGGACGGAGTTTGGCTTTTGCTTCCCGATCCGCACTTGGCCGGTGACGGGGATGTCGCGTACCACGACGATGTGCATGTGCGTCTGTGGGTGGTGGCCCTCCATCTTGTCGCTTCTGGCTTTATTCTGGCGTGCCCCTCTCCCTCGATGGGGGAACAGCTCTGCTCCTCGCTGTCATTGCCTGGTAGTGTGCACTGCCTTCCTGGTTGTTCCGCGCGTTTTGCGTCCCACACATTGCGACGGAGAGAACAAGCGCCATTCCACCACTCCGCACATCGAAAAGTTTGAAAGGGCCAATATGTTCCGACGTCTGCCGTGCATTTCTGCGGTGCTGCTCCTCCTGTGCGCCTTTATGTGCTGCAGCCCTCAATCTGTACGCGCCGATGAGACAAGTACGCCACCGAAGGAAATTAATCTATTTAAGGGAACGGAAAAGATTTCCTCCGCCGTTTGGGAAGAAATGGCAGACAAGAACCGTGAAGAAGTCGAGTCATTGCATTCTCCCGCTCTTGTAAGCGTCCGTGGTGATGTATTTGTCGTGGCTGGGGCGCGGCTGAAGAGTGATGGAGCTGGCAGCCGCATTGTAGTTGCGTCCAAACATCTGGAGAAAGGCGGTGATGACGCAACGGAGATCTCTCTGGAAGCTGCAACTGTCACCTACGCACAACTTGTACATGAAAATGACAAGGCTGCTTTCAGGGCAATTGACACCCCACAGCCAGCGGTACTTTCAGTTGGCGGCGATATCTACATGCTACTGGGAAAATGCAGCTTTGCACCGTCTGAGGATCAACGCGCCGATGCACAACACTGGGATCTTGTACTGGTGAAGGGAACTGTCACTGAGGATGCTGATGAGAAGAAAATCACGTGGGTTGAGACCCATGCAGTGAATACGTCATCGATGGTACTTCCTGGCCCCTTCACGAACGTGACTGTGGCCGGAGGATCGGGTGTTGTGATGCGGAAAGGTGTGCTCGTGTTTCCCTTGCAGGCCGTCCAAGAAAACGGAGTGAGTGTCTTGCTTTCCATGCGCCTTGTCGAGTCAAAGGGTAAGTGGGTATTCTCACAGCAAGCGACTGGTGAAGGCTGCAAAGACCCATCCATTGTGGAGTGGAACGACGATAGGCTCATCATGCTCGCTCCTTGCGCGGCTGGCCACTACTTGGTGGAACTCTCCACTTTTAATGGAGTGGCTTGGTTTGAATGGGGTGAGCCGATTACCCACGTGTGGGGCACCTCGCGGGATCGACAGGGGGGAGGCGGCGTTCGCCGGGGCCTCGCCTCTGCAACCGTCGAAGGCAGGAAGGTGATGCTCCTGGCGATGCCGGTGTATCCTAAAGAGGGAGGGTCAGGAAACGGTCCGCTGCATCTTTGGCTGACCGACAATCTCCGCGTGTACGATGTCGGTCCGGTCTCCGATGCCGAGGATGACGCTGCCGCCAGCTCCCTGCTGTACAAGAACGACAAGCAGGGGGGGGAGGAGCTGATTTTACTATACGAAAAGAAGACTGAAGGTTCAAACAGCCTTGCTTATGTGCGCCTGACGGATAAACTGCAGCAGGTAAGTGATGTGGTGAGGAAGTGGAATGCATTGGACAACGCCTTGGGGGAATGTGCTTTTACTGACCAAGACGAGTTGCCGAGTAATGCGATGTGTAGGGGTCCTGTTATCACCGACGGGCTGGTCGGCGTTTTCTCTGGAAAATCAACTGACAGCGTGTGGATGGACGAATACCTCTGCATTAATGCCACAGTGGCGAAGGGCCAGAAGACGGAGAATGTTTCCAATGGCTTGACGTTTCAGGGAGCTGGTGCAGGAGCAGAGTGGCCTGTGGGGAAAGCAGGGGCCAATCAGCCGTACTACTTTTTAAACATCGAGTTCACTCTTGTGGCCACGGTGACCATCCACGCGGTGCCGAAGGAAGACACTCCTCTGCTGGGGTTGAGGTTGAATGACGCAGCCAACACTGTCTTCTTTGACCTCTCTTACACGAGCGACAGGAAGTGGAAAACCCGTGCTTGCCGTTCGCGGCCTAAGGAGCACCATCAGACTTGGAAAACAAACCGAACATACCAGATTGTGGTGCGAAAGGCAGGGATTGAGTGGGATGTGCAGGTTGATGGGTATGAGATTTACCAAAGGGATGTGAGCCGTTGCACGCTGCTTGACGAACACAAGTTTTCTCACCTCTACATCGGCGGGGACAAGGATAAACAGGCAAATGGCACAAACGTGACTGTGACCAACATTTTTTTCTACAGCCGCAAGTTGTTTTACGCTGAGGTTGATGAGCTGACGAAGACCAAAGTCACTATTCCGGTGTCGGGTGTGGAGGAGCCGGAGGATCCCATGCTGCGGCCCGGCGGTGTTGCTGCGGGTGGTCTTGGAGACGGCGCCAGAGGCAACGCAATGAACGCACCACCACCCGTGGAACGGCAGAATGGGGCTCAAGTTGGTGACGGTGCCGGCGCTTTTCAACCCGACGCCGCCGTTGATGGCGATGCTGATGAACCGCCACTCCCGGAAGGCGACCGGATCCAAGGGCCAGAAGAGCGGCCTCTCCAAGAAGAGGAGGAAGGGCCAGTCGAAGAAGCGGGGGCAGAGCCGGGCCCGGAAGAAGAAGAGCGTCTGGTCGAAGAGGCGGGGGAGGAAGTACCGCAGCCAAACCAAGAAGCGGGGGCAGAGCCGGGCCCGGAAGAAGAAGTTCATCTGGTCGAAGAGGCGGGGGAGGAAGTACCGCATGGTGACAGCACCGTGCGTGAGAGTGCGTCTCGGGCATGGATGCTTGTTTTCGCGATGTGTGGAATTGTGTTTCTCTTCTCAGCCGGCTAATGCGAGGCAGTGACAACTGAGGGAAAATATGTACGATATGGCCCCAGCGGGTCTTCCTCTTTTTTTTTTATTTTCGTTTTATTTTACCCGCATCACCTTTACCTTGTTTCTCTTCTACTTGGGCTATTCCCCTCCCTTTCTTTCTCGTGCTGTAGGTGCTCTGCGGGAATAACCAGAGCGGTCCTGTTTTTTTTTTTTCCTTTCTTGCTCTAGTGGTTGCTTGCTGTACACGCCACCACAGGTGTCCAGTTTTCCCGTTTTCTTGTCTTTTTCTGTCCCTCGCACACGACCAGGGTGGCACAGCTGTGCGTCATATGCCTGCCACAACCGCCGTGCCGAAGAACAGGCCCAAATACCGCATGAAATGTAATGCACGGGTGTGCGTGGACTTATGAAACAGGGCGACGTCTCTCTTTTTCTTTTCAAGTTTTATATACACACAGTCCTCTTGTGCTTTTGGACGCGTGAAGTAAGAACAACAAAGCACCTGCTGAAGTAAGTTTTATATCTTTTTTTTTGTTTCATGGGGCCTCCCACTAGGCCTCCACTCGTAATTTTTTCTTGGTCTTGGGTAAATAGCTTCAGCCTAAGTTTTGTTTTCACGCTGTGCCCGCTACTGTCGCTGCGTGTCTCTGCTTCCTGTTTGCTCCCACCGCTGCTGGCAATGCCGCCGACATGCCTTCATTTCCTCCTTCTCTCTCTCTTCTTTTCCGCTAGAGGCTCTGGCAGTCCACGACGACGGCTCTTTTTTTGTACTCCGCTGCGGTGGCGCGGGAGAGACGGGGCATGCGGCTGCCGCTTTCCTCGCACGCTGCGGCGGGAGAGAGTAGACGGGGTGGGTGCGTGTGCGACGTGTGTCTCACTGCGAGTGTGCGTGGAGGCGCCGTTTCATCGCGGCCTGCGGCGTCGTGCGGTACGATGGCAGTCGGTGAGGGCAGAGTAGCCGCAGAATGTGCGGCAGTCTTTGAGCCCGCCCGTCCCTCTCGCTGCGGCTGCGTGGGTGCGAGGCTCTTTTGTTCTTCGCCCCCGCACGTGCGTGTGTAGGGGAGTGCGGCCGCGAGTGGTTCGTCCGTTGCCGTCGTGGCGGAGGCGCAGAGGCGGGGGGTGGATGTCACTGCCGTGGAGTTATGCCTTCGTGCGGCCCACGCGACGCGTTTGAGCCGCCACTGCGGGTGTGCGTCCCTCCGGCGCAGCTGGCCGCAGTGAGTTGTTGCTGCCCGGGCCTGTTGCGCCCCGCCAGCCGCCCGTCCTCCCGCTGTGTGGCTGCGGAGGCGTTGGGGAGGTGCGTCTCGTGTGTGCATCTCTCTTTTTTTTATCTCTCTTTTGTGGCTGTGAAGAATTCGTTTTTGCAGTGCTAGTGATACGGCGAACACACACAGAGACACACACCAGCTGAGCGAAGGAGATATCGATAATGTGGCGGAGTTTCGTGCGATTTCACGTTGCAATGCAGCGAAAGCTGTGCGTCTCAATTGTCGCGGCGAGAGCTGCTGCGGTGCGACCGCGTGGGGTGCGCAGCACTCCGCAGCCGCAACTGTGCGTCGGCGACGCGTGTGCCCGTTGGCCGCCCGCCGGAGGTGTGCGTGGGGCCCTCCACCCATCGTTTCTTCTGATGGCGCCGCGCCGCGTGTCCGGCGGTGGCGCGCAGGTCGCACAGGGCCAAGGGAGGGAGCAGGGAAATAAACAACCGTGGACACTTACCACCAGCGTCGAAGATGTACTGTTGGGGAGCGAGCCCAGCATTGAGA